AAATACACAGTCAAATTTTTAAGAATAAAACTGTTGGTCTTACTGTTTTTGTTTAGATATGACTGTGATAGCTTATCCATATTGGCAACAGTAATAAAATGAAACACTTTACTAGAACTATTCCCCAAAATCTTATTTGCTGTCAGATATCCCAGAAAACAGAGTGATGCAAGGTGTTGTAACAGTAAATCATTATTTGTGTATAGGAAGTGTATCCTAAATTAGTTGGAAATGCTGATGTTAATTTTCTTGTTTCAGATGAGACAATAATGCATTGATCAAGTGCTTTGAAAGAAGGGAACACACATTCACCTCTAGAAGACCAATATGTATACACAAAATTGACACTACTTAATAGGCTCTGCTAGTGGGTATTAGGTGTAGTAAGTTCTACTTTGTTCATGATCTACATACAGAAGCTCTACTGTTACTCTGCTGTACTTCCCTGTGGCTTAATACATGGTGGTGTTAATGAAATTACTATTGGTAGCCTTTAAGACTTTTAATTCTGTTTTTTATCAAGTGTATTTTATAACTGGAACTCATACAAATATGAACTTCTACTTTCTATTACAATGCCTGGGAATAAAAATTCACTGTTACTGCCCTATAGGGTTTGCTTTATGGCATAAGATCATGTGGCAGTCTTCAACATTAGTGCTTTATCAATAGTTTTCTACAACTGGATCTGAATTCTGCATATTTATGGCAGATATGAGATGTAGTAAAGAAAATGGATTGTTTAGGATCAACTCTTTTTACAAGTCATAGATAGTTTATTTGGTGGCTAGTATAGGGTTTTGTTGTTAGTGTCACATGTTTATGTGCTAGTCAGTTGAAATACAGTGAAGGAGACCAGAAAATATTGAGAGTGGTAACTGCATATTGTTTGGTTTTTGAATCAATTAAAGAATTGCTTTTAAACAAGAAATAAGTGTGTCTCTTCCTTTTCCTTTTCATGTTTTGCTTATGATTTCTAAAAATAGCAGTTAAAACTGTATTTCTAAAAATAGCAGTTAAAACTGTATTTCTAAAAATAGCAGTTAAAACTGTATTTCTAAAAATAGCAGTTAAAGCGATTTAATTTTAACTCTTAATGAGTGTCACAATGAATGAATCAAGTAATCTAAACTTCTTGAAGTACTGAAAGCACACCCTATTGAATTTCCACTCCCCATTCCATTTGAACTGATAAAATAAATGGAGAAACAAAGAAAAGAAGAACAAGTAGGACTGCTGTTGCATACTAATGATGTTAGTGGTCAGGGTTCCCTTACCTAAGTAGGATATTACCCTTAATAGCTATCAGATCAGTGTAACACTAGTGTATTTCAAAGGACAAAAGGTAGTGTCTGTTGTTTGGATGTTACAGATCTGCAAAAACCAAAGGGGCAAAAGGCATAGGTGGATAAGGGATGTTTTGATGTTTTGTTTCTGTTGTAAACTTAAATGAGAATTTCACAGTATTGGAATCTGTTGAATTTTGGAGCATTTGAAAGGAAGAAAGAAAGGGAATTCTTTTTGACTTGAAACATGATTTTACAAAAGTGTGCGCTAAGTGTGCTATTTTTTCTTCTCTTCCTATCCTGTTCAGGGCCGGTTTTGGAGTAAAAGTTCTAATTCATCAGTATAGGTGAACTGCTACACTTAACAGCACAGACTGATAAAATAATAAAATGAGAATAATCACTCTCGCAGTTGTAAGAACACAGATAAACTGTGACAATAGCTATAACTTTAATAGCTTTTGAAATATCTTGTTTCCTGTGTTCTTTCAAATAGATACCACTTAGTGCTATTTTCAGTATTCAGTGAAAGCAATCTGAAGACATTGTATGTAGTACTTGAGTGCTGTAGTTGTTCTGCATGTGAGCTATTGTAGGTGAAAAATCCTATAGTCCTTTGTTAGTTTCTCTGGGATCCTAACTTTTTTTGTTGACTTTTGAGCATAACCAGTTTAGGTTCTTCAAACAAGGTACATGCTTTGTGGCCTTTTAATAATGAATGTGACATTTTTAGAAAATATTTTGAACATACAGCTGAATTATTACTCAGTCTTTGGATTAACTGTTGCGACTCTTGGTTAGCTAAAGGAGTTTGTTTTTTAGCTTTTTTTCTTCATTAGAGCTGTGTTCTTTTAACCACAAAGTAAGGCTAACAGGTTTTAAGTCCTAGAGTAACTACCGTAATCAACTGCCTTAATCTGCTACAAACCACTTTCTCAAACTCCATCCAGTAATTTGTGTGTAAGGATGATACCATCAAGTTTGAGCTAAACTAGTTTGTATTTGATAATCTGTATTCGGTAACTTGTATTAAATTACTTGTGTTAAAACTGTGTTATCGTCAATATGGCATGAAATGATGCTTTTTAGCTTCTGGCCTGTGTTAAATAGGTACAGTTTTGTCAAAGTGCACAGAACAGGGCTGTACTGAAATCTAGATCTGAGGAAGAGATTATCTGATTTGAACACAGTGAGGACAATAGGATGTTGGGGGCAGGGGGTGTGTGTGTCTGTATGGGGCAGAGTCTTTGGTAGAGTATTCAGGGTTGTCTTTACATGCTTGTAGCATTCTTATGCTATACTCTGTATTCCCTTCTGGGTGATGTCAGAAATCAGATGCTGGATTTGGTAGACTTGTGGTAAAACAAGTTTAACTATTTTAATGTTCTTGAAATATTGGATTTTAGTCTAAATGGATCTAAAAAGATCCTTTTTTTAGGCAGATGACAGTTGTGAAACTGATGACATATGAACTAATCTTTCAAATGCCCATGATCTGCAGGTCTTACTAGTGTTAATTACATACTTTTGGCTTTAAAAAAATAAGATCTAGGAGTTTCTAAAAATACCTAACCTCAACCCCATCTTTTAAAGGCACAGATCCTATGCTTATGCAAAATACTTAACACTTTTCTTGAAGATGCTGCCTGTATTCTTTCTTGATCGGAGGGGCTGGGGAAGCATTTTTAAAAGAAGAATTTGGTAACCTAGATGTGTTGGTTGGATCTTGAGTCCTTAGTCTGATTCTGTATTTAGCAGGCACTTTTTTAGTGTTACAGATAGGATTTTTACTTAATTTAAAACCTAGATTGGTAGCTGTGAGGAAACCTTTTGACTTGTATAAAAATCTCAAGGAAGGTGGAAGACCCAGTCCTAGAAGCAAATAAAAGAGGAAGAAGTAACGGTATCCTTCCCTGCTCATTAACTGGAAAGTGGGCAATAAATAGGCGTTTTGTTTTATTTTTTCATTAACATATTTGGAGTACCAGTCTTAACCTTTGTTTAAGCTGTGAGTCTTGTGACTGGCTGTTCACTGTGTGAATTACTGGTTTTATGACAGTTTTCTTTCATTTGGGAAGATGTGGGTGTTTGTGCCCATCTCTTCCAAATATTTGAATGATTGAGTGTGATAGCAAGACATTTTCCATTTTATAATGGCGAGAAGTAGTGTATCTGCCTTCAAAATTCCTCAAGCAATTCTAGATAAGGAGTTCACTAACTGAAGCTGTTTAGCTCTTAAATGAGGGTTTTTTTGCATACTGCATAAAGTGCATTTAAAACACATTGCTTTATCCCATGTTATGGACAGATTAATAAACTGTGGGCAGATGTTCATGTGAGGTTTTTACTGGTGCCTCCACCTGCTCTTGCATGATTTTGTATTGTATCATGACTGGGGTGCACTAAAATAATTTCTCTTAACACCATCCAACACCATCCTGTTTGTCAGCGTTCAGAAGATGTCATCAGTAGATTACATTTTATTGTGAACAGGGTGGAGGAATTTGAGGCTTCTCAAAGCTTCAGGAACTCTGAGGAAGATAATTTTTTTTAATCCATTATGATGGATTAAATCATCATGATGAAAGAGCCTTAAGCAGGTCAGAGGTGATGGTTTCAGTGCCAGTTATACCCAAAATATGTACCTGGAAAAAGGATCACAAGCAGTACCTCTCTCTCCTAGTTTATATTGTTTTATTTGATGTAATGTTAAATGTTATAGGAAGCACATGATGTCTATGAATGGGTGTGCTTACCTGGGCTTTTTCTTACCCTGGTGCCCCTCTGTGGGAAAGAGATATTTAATGGTTCTTTGATATGTGGATGTGATTTGGTAGCCTTTGAATTGTGTCTTGGTGGTCTAATTGTAAAAGGCAAATAGTGGAGGCATCAGTTTCCAAACAGTTAAGAAACTTAAAATCTCTTTTCTTATGGCTGTGTCTTTCACTAAGTGCCAAGCTGGCTGTCCCTGTATGGTGAAATGGAGGAGGGATATTAGAGAGAAGGGACCTTCTAAGTGAAGAGTTTTCTCTAGTTTACCAGCTTACTCAGTGTAGCGAGTAGGAGGGAGAATGGAAGCCAGTCTTCCTTCCTTGATTGTAGGAGATTGTCCTTTATAGTTTGAACACCTCTTGCTTAGTCAGCACTGATACACTCCAGAGAAATCATAAATGTGCTAAGAGTTAGGCAAGCAATGGAAAGGCATTACTTGTTCTTGTGGGAATGAAAATATATAGCCTGGTCCCTTTCAATAACTTCTGACTGAAACCTGTTCTTCTCTTTGCTGTTCTAAGTAGTAAACTTTTCCCCATCATTCTGCATCTCCACAGCAAATTAAAAGGACTAAAATCCTAAGGAGAACCTGAGATGATGTATTTTTACATGTTTGGTTTGATCAATGTTCTGCTTGTATGTGTGAGGTTTTATAGCATTATATCATATTATTCTTTGAGTTATACTGCACAGTGTTCTGTTATGGCTTTTTAGACTTGACAGTCTTCTCTTTGTAATATAGAGAATTTAAGCAGCTAATAAGTAATTTGCTATACAAATAAAATCACAAAGGGGAGTTAATCCACTGGTGAGGCAAATGTTGGTAACCTCGAATGTCTTGAAGAGTCATTTCAGGCTGTGTGCAGCATCTTCAAGGGAAGTTAAAGTTCATTTTGTATCTGTTTTATGTTTTGGTTCCAAAGGAAGATGGCACAGCTCCTACCGCTTCTTCGGTATAGGAAGTTAGCCCAGTGAAATCATTCCATTCCTGGTGGCCTCTGATTGGGATTGTAAGTGAATAATCTATTGCCTTCGTTTTTATTGATGGATCATTGGAACTGTTTCAAAACAAAAGTTACAATTCACAGGCATTTGTGGATTTGTTTGCTGAAGTAACTGTTTCCATTGTGGTCTGCACAGCAGTACCAATTGGCCTCAACCATTTTGTTATGTTGTATAGTATTTTTTAATTTAGAAGATGTGGGGAGTAAAGAAGGAAAGCTTTTTTGTTTTGTTTTTGAATAGGAAGCTGTAAAGACGACATCTTCAGGAGATAAGTCACTTTGCACTGAAAGACAGAACAGGCAATTCACCTTTGGTAGAATAGGTATCGAAGCCAACATTAGCAATACTAAGTTTAAGAACTGTCTTAATTTAGGCATATCTGAAGGGGCTCTGAATAACAATGTTTACAAAACTACTAGCTGCCTTGAAATGTGGGCAGGAGCAAAGGAGTTTCTCAGGACTAAGGAGGATAATGGCAAATTAAATATAGGAGTTAACCATGGACCAGGACATGATAGAAAAAGAAAGGGATAACATGAAGTTTTGCAGTCCTCCAGCTGAATTTGGGAAGCACCTTTGTGTTGTCATGTAATACCCTCAGACACATTATGCACTATAATTTGAGATAACTCCAAAGGTGTCAAAGAATCACAGAAGAGTTGAGGCTGGAAAGTACCTGTGGAAATCCAAATCCCCTTCTTAAGATGGGTCACTTTGAGTGGGTTGCTCAAGGACTGTGTCCAGTGCCATTTAGAGCATCAACATGGAGTCTCTGCAACCTCTGAAGGCAGTCTGCTTCAGTGTTCAGCCCTCCTCACTGTTACAGTGTTTTCTTATGATCAGATAGAACTTTCTTTGTGTCAGTTCATGCCCATTGCCACTTGTCCTTTCAGGGACACCTCCAAGAAGAATCTGTTTTTATTTTCTTTACACTCTCCGATCAGACACTTAGTAAGTCTTTTTACCAGTTGACCTTTTCAGCCATTTCTACTATACATCCTAAATTGATAAGGTCCCCCTGTGGTCACCTGTCCAAAGTTCTTGACACTGCAGTGTAGGGTATGGAGAACAGCCTGTTGACTCATAAAACCACTCTGAAGACTCGAGCATTCCTGGAGTTCCTGTTGTACCATCTCATGTTGAGGGCTTATGTAGTTGCAATTCATACTGTCTCTTAGGTTTTTGATTACTTTTGCTGTAAGATTCAAAACTTTAGCTGTTTTGATTCTTAGAGCAGTTTTGTTAAATAAACAATCTCATTATTTGTGGATCTTTACTAAGAAGAGTTATTTTCAACACTGGAAGTTCAAGATTAAATTAATCATATTTATGAAAATAGCATACAAATACTTCAAAATCCTGTAACTCCAAATGACCTTGAAAAGTTATCTGCATCTATACATCACTGAACTGGTTGCTATACTTCATTTGGTTTTCAAATTTAAAGGAAAAAAAAATGCAGTTCTCTGACTTGTGAGATGAACCCTGCTAATTTGGCTTGTATTCTGAAAGTGTTTTGAATGACTGAGAGGCTGTCGAGCATTTTTTTTCTCTCAGCCATCAGTGAGGTTCACAGATGTTGCTTATGCAGTTATAAACAATGTTGCTCAGCAGCTTATGGTCTGATCACAAGACACTACATATCCTTTTCAGTCTCACTAATATATGTTCAACCTGCAGCTGGTTAATTATCTGTTAAGCACTTCCTCTCTAATTCATTGTTAAACTCCTGCTTATTCTCTATTTCTGTGGATTAAGTTTCTAAATTAACAAAATGACAAGAGAAACATGACAATTTTATTGATATGACCAGGATGATGAGAACAACCGGGTTAGTCTGTAGCAGCCTGCTCTTTGTGCTGACATTTCATCCCAAAGGTTTGAGTTGCTAAAGGTTCTAGTCATGGACAAGCAATGTTATTTTTTGTGAGATTGCCATGGTGATCAGGCAGGTTGTGGAGCATGGGGAAGAAATATCTTTTTTTCAATTTATGGTCTTAAGAGAAAAGGGGAATTTGGGAACCCCCATTAATCTGAAGATGATGGGATTTTTCATATCTTGCCAATACTGTTCTACTGTTGTTAAAACTGCAAGGGGCAGAGCACAGTAGCCTCAGTGTTGTTCTGCCAGTGTGAAATTGGTGAACTAATCCTTGCTAGCATTTGAGTTTATAGAGTATCTTTAGTTTGCAGGTGCTTGTGGTGCATGTCTGAGTAACTAGGTAACCTCAGTAGCCTTCTGTGAGTGTCTTGTCTTTTATCACAAGACTTTCCAGCTGTTGCTGGAATTGTGATGCTTCTAAGTATTTTTTACCAGTTTACCTTCTCGGCCATTTCTACTGTACCTCTTAAATGCACACAAACCAAATAGCATGAATGTAACATGAGAAAAATTCTTCACACTCAGTTGAACGTTTTTTAATAGTCTTCTGTTGCTACAGCAGCTGATCCAAGAACTTTTATGCTGTTACTGCAAGTTGCTTGTTGTTACTGAGGCTGACTTGCAAGGCATTATGTTTCTCTCTACAAACCACAGTGTATTTGCAGTGATCATGATTAATGTAGGATAGTATAAATTAAAACAATACTCTGTTTATCAGTTGTTGTGGTTGGTACAGAAAGAAGTAACTCCTAGTATTATGACTGCAATGTTGCATTATGAATCTGTTTAGATGTTCTTAAAGTAGTGGTTAAAACCTGTATGGAACTGGATCATGTGGAAGGGATTTAATACAGCAAAAGTGCTTAACATATATCTATAGGCAAGGAAGTTAAGTGAGGCTGTGTTAGAGTTGCTGTGGGGAATAATATGTATTAAGTCCAGTTACAGCTTTATATAGACAAGTTCAGCACCTGTGCTACTGACACAAGCCTTTTAACAGTGGATTGGTTTCTTACAATGAATGATATCCAAATTAATGAGATCTTGATGTCTTCTCTCAGAATTTTGTAGTTTGGCCTGTAAAATTAGTGTGTACAGTACTAAAAATCAATGAAGTGATTGTCTTTTCTTACATACTGAGTTTTAAAAGTGGATATCATACCAGAGTGGGACAATTTGTAGTTGAGTAAGACAGGTGATTATAGTGATCCCTCTTTTTTTTTTTTTAGGGTAAAGCAGTATAGAGAAAATATCAATGCTGAAGGATCTTCTATAAAACTAATAATTGGATGGAATGCAGGCTTAGTGCCCTTCTCGTTGTGTGCTCTGATGCAAAATGATTTGCCTACCGAATGTAGGGGCACAAGGACGTAGTAACTAAGGAGATAACCACTGCAGGACAGCTTGAGATACAAATGAAACTCAAGATTTTGCTGACGTTTGAGTTCTTGGAAAACAGCATTGCCAGTAATTAACTGGTGCATATGATCAAATATCTTCTGCTTGTCTCCAAGGCTTCCATCTCTAGTTTCAGTTTAACTAAGCTGCAAAACAGGTTCCCTGATCTATATTTAAACAATATTTAACTGCCAAGGATGATGGTCCCAAATACCATTTTTTAATTGGTGTGTAACATTTCCCTCTTTACAGGAACACAAAGGTAGTTCTGAAATGGAATCTAATAACTTCAGGTTTTATAATTACAAGTAGAAGTTCTAAATTTTATTAGGAAAATGTGTTGTCACAATTAAGCATTTCTTCGTAACTTGATCATTTACTGTAGCAATACTCTTATGTAGTCCTTAATGACCATATGGATATGGTGAGTGATGCTAAACCTTAAGGTAAATAAGTATTGTGATTGAACATTGAATCACGTTTTCTTGGCATGTGTATGAATCCAACTATCAGTATTAATCTGCAGCGTTAATCCAGGAAGCAGAATTTCTTAATGCTTTTCATGGTAGTGAAATGACAATTTAGCATCACCCAGAAATAAGTTTTAAAGATTCTGGTGAGAGTATGCTGAGCCTCTACTTAGTACAAACCAATATTAAACACTTTATGTCTCCTCTCAAGCTGTAGAGTTTTATTTCTCTTGTTGTGACAGAAAAAAAAACATGCACGTAAAATGTATTAGAAAGCTCCAGTCATAAGAAGCTGTGATAAAAATGGATATAAAAGGCTAAGGTTGGAGACATTTTATCCCCATTACTGTTCTAGAAAATGCCAGTTTTACTAATGAAACTTCTGCTCCTTTCAGGTAATCCTGAAAATGTCCTACTGAGTAAGCAACTGGCAGTCTTCAGCTTAAATTACATTCACATCTGTTTTAAGTCTGTATCAGTTTGCTGATCTAAGTTTTGTGGTAAAGAAATTATACCCATGCAATATCTAATGAATTGCAGTACTTCAGAAGGGAGTGGTTTCCCCACCCCATATGTAGGATTTGAAACAGTTTCCTTGGGTAATCGCCTTTCATTTTGTAGCCCATTATCTTTCCCTTTTATTTCTGTTGTATTGAGCTTTTGTTACAGTTCTCCTTTATTTCAACCTTTCCTGTTTCATCAGCAGCAACTCATCTGTTCTTGATTGCAGGTCACATATTACATATAGCAGAAGTCTAGTGTATCCATGATTATACATGAACTGCTTTTTTAATTTAACCCATTTTGTTTCATTTCACTAAGTGAAACTTCTGAAGAAACAGTTTCATCCAGGAAAGAAATGCTTGAGTAACTGATATGGGCTTCTTGATATTGTCTTAAACTTATGGCAGAACAGAAGAAAGTTTAAGAAATTAAAAAACCCCAACAAAAACCCAAACAAAAACCCCAGATCCTAGTTCAAGCTTTGTTCAAAGGTGTGGGGCTTTTTTAGTTCTTCGGGTTTTTTGAGACCACAGGCCTCTCTGTTTATGATTTGTAATCCTTAAGGCTCATTTGAAGAACTTTTTTATTTTAAAGGTCAAAACATATACATGTTAATCAGTCTTTTGTTTATCTTGCAGTGTCAGTTTTGTTTGTCAGTAAGAGCTAGGGTACCACCAGTTTCACACTGCATGAATCATATTGAATCCATCCCTTTCTCTTTGTCTCAGATCTCTGAAATGGAACAAAGCCT